AGAGGTAGGGAGCGAGGAGGGACGAGGAAGGGAGCAGGAGAGAGGAGGGATAGAGGAGGTAGGGTGCAGGAGGGAGGAGGTAGGGAGAGGAGAGACGGGGACAGGAAGACTGGCAACACAATAGAAGGATGGGAGTTGTCAAGAGTGAAGGGGAAGGGCTTGAGCTTTTTCGTAGCAGGCAGGGCATGGAGCGATTTGAAATTTGTTCAAAAACAATTGAGAGAAGGTTGAGGAGGAGTCAGATGAAGAGAGGAGGAGCCTGGGGTAAACAGAAAAATTGAACAAGAAGTTCATGTGTGTGCAAACAATTACATGCTGTTGTATTCTGGACTCATACCGGACGCCCCTTGCGCGTATAGGATGACGATGCAGATCCCTGCAGTGGTGCTGCTGATCTGATGGCTACGTGTGCTTAATAAACAGAGATCCTAAGATCATCTGAGCTCAAGGTCTTACGCAAGGTTGTGTATACAACACATGTGCCGACATTGGTACTGTTTACGCATTTCCTCTTGACAATGCTTCACACGATTGTGATCAAAATACGAGTGCTCTTTGACGATTATTTTTCTTTGTCATGGTGATGCGTGTATGCATTATTCCAGTCCATTCAGCAACACCACACATGATTGCATGAGCATCAACAACAACAATTGTCTGTCAGAAGAAAATTTTCATCTTCCAACTTTGTGATCGAATCAGGCTGATAATATCATACAATCGCGAGCTATGAGCCGATTCTGCTCCTTGAAAGATAAATTGCATGAGCTGATTTCACACATCCTGTAACATGGGCCGTCTGGTATGTTTAAAATTCGCCATCACCAGGTGCTGACATCCCCTTGCATATGGGATAATAGTGGCTCTGCTTGCTGCCCCTCGCCTCTCTTCCATTTCTATCTCCAATGGATTTCTCATTGCATCAAGCTTGATCCACTGCGATCTTGCGATGTTGCTTGCATGCTGTTGGAGCCGCGACTACGGTCACGGTCATGTCCCATAGACAAGAAGCAGATTCCCCTCAGAACCTTGTAATATAAAAAAGAAAAGGCAGCACATTTATTCTACATCCTTATACACACATGAAAAGAGGCAGCGGAAATGATATACGACGTGGTGTTAAGTAAAACATCTTATTTCTCCGTTTTAGAATGTAAACTCAAAAATCTCTTTTTAGTCAGCAAAATTTGAGTAAAGTAATTTAAAAATGTTTGGACTGTAATGTTTAAAAGTATAGTAGTGGGGTGGGGTAGTGTCAGCAACAATAACTGGATTGATTTACGTACCAATTGATAGAGGGAGGTACTCAGAACGAGCAGATACAAGCCAAGAAGCAGTCAAGCCAAGGAGGACAGGGAATGGCTAGCAAGAGGCTACAGCCTGAGGCAAGCTAAAACAAGCACAGCCACGCATCAATCAGTCGCAAGGGCTGAGAATTCTAGTGAGCTGGGCTAGATAAGACATATGCAACGCCAGCAAACAACTATCGCAAACTCACAACGATGGTCGAAGGATGCCAAAAAAAAAAAGAAAAAGCAGCGAAAGCGAGAAAGTCAGCAATGCAAGGAGCACGCCGCTAAGAACGATTCAATCGGCACGCGAAGGGTGCGGAGATTATTTCGTCAGATAGTTATGAGAGTGAAAATTCACGACAAACAAGAAGCTACTTTGAGGTCGTCTACGCACACACGAGCAGTGCTGTCTTATGCCAACTTGTGTTCTTGATACATGCTTGACTTCTGCATTCGGTTCGAGAGTGATAATCAGCTGCATGAACAAAGTGAAAGATGCCTCAGTTGAGCCTACCAGTCTCGACATGAATGAATACTTGCTCCATTAAAACACAACAAGTTTTTCGTGCATTCTATAAGAATTATGCATTTTATGGCTTTGAAAAGGAGGACGACGTGATCAGTGATAGCTCTGGGTCATTGTTTTGCATGCGTCAGGAGTGCAATAAGGGAGGTTTTCATGTCGAAGACTCTCTCATAGATGAACATACGGTTGTTTAATGAGTGAGGTTGAAATAGTGTATGTTAATGCATTCATTCACAGTCTGTGAGCACAGAGAAAGCTTCAACCACAAAGTCCATCAAACACACTGCAACTATTTTTAGCCTCTGTGACAGCATAATCATTCTCAGCAACCTTATGCAGTACCCAAATTTCGCAGGAAGAATAATGTCACTCAGAACAATTGCGATTGCTTAGCCTATTAAGAAATTTGGATGGAAAACTTGCCTTGAAGCCAGTTACATTCTCTTGTGAATTTCGAACAGAATTCCTCCTTTCTGCTCCCTCGGTCGTTTTTCATCGCTGTCTTGCTTGATGCATCCGGTTCATGCAACCTTGTTCCTCTCTCCTCCACCTTGGTCTTCATCCGCCCTCTAACACCTTCCTACGCCCTTTCAGACAGCGCTCCGTATTCTCCTTTGTCTTGCTCTTCCTTTTTTCTTCTCTGCTTCTCTTCCCATTCAATGATTGTTGAGGTTGTTTCATTCGTAACACATCCATCTTCAACCTTTTCTTCGCCTATTTCACGTATCCTATTCTCCATCATGTGGTCTAATTCTTGCCTTCTTTTCCCTCATCGAACCCTGTCCCAGTGCATGTCCCTCTCCAAATCCCTATTCCTTCGGCCTAGGCCTGTGCCTGGGCTCGGACTTGGGCTTATCCTTGTCCTTGTCTTTGTCTTTGTCCCTTTTCTTGCCCTTGCCAATTGAGTCGTAGAAGCCCATTGAGTCGTAGAAGCCCTGGTGCTTGGGCTTGTGCCTGTCCCAGTCCTTGTCCTTGATCTAGCTATTTGCCCTCCTAGAGCAGTTGTTCCAGAAGGTAGGGAGAAGCCTATAAAGCCAGGTCGGAGTCCTCTTGACTTGCAGGATGGCCATCAGAGCATGGCGATGGCTGCATGGGAGGGCAACCAGCGCGTCCAGAGCCTGGATTCCGTCTTCGAGCAAACGCAGAGCACTCTAGCTGGTCTTGCCGCACCATTCTCTTCTTCATTTTCACGCACAGCCCCCTCCTCCCCCCCCCCCACCCTTCTCCCTCTACCCTTCTCCCTCTACCCCTGCGACTGCAACTTATTTTTTTATTTTTTTTCCTCCTCGAACTTACTACCCCCACCCCTACTGGAATTAATAAATTTTGAAGTGTTCTCTTTTCGAAAGGAAGATACCCCTAGTACCCCAGATTTGCGACCCTATAAATTGCTATGTGATCAAGGGGTGTTTGGCGGACGAACGAAAGGTACAAGAGGGGTGGGGGGTGGTGACTAAGTATCGGGGTTGATGTTGGGTCTGGTAGGGTAGTCAAAAAATTTTTTACAACAAATCCATTTTTGGGAGAGGGGGGGTGGTCATGCGAGCGGGTGTGAGTTTTAAAGGGTTGAGAGTCAACACAGGTCTGCATGTGTCAATAGGGTGGTCCAAGATAGGGGTACGTATTGGGAACAGAGGGGGGGTACATGTTCCTTTCCCCATGGAAAGGTTAACAAATTTGGATGGGTGGGGTGGAACTGCAACAGGGGTCATGTTGAAAGGGTCATTCGAACCATTCAAGAGGGTGGGGTGATATTACCGGTGTCCCGAGGGTCGTTTTAACTCTCGGGGATGGGGTGGGGTGGGGTGGGGTGGGGTGGGTAGTGCAGAGGGGGTAAGTTACGCAAGGAGGAGGACGAGGATAAGAGGGAGGAGAAAAGCGAGGAGGGCAACAGGGAGGAGGGGGAGGAGGAGAAACAGGAGGGGCTCCTTGTAAGAAGCATGATGAAGTATAGTATGTGATGGGTGCGAATGGGAGGCTTGTTGAAGATCAACTTCCGGTCACTTGCTGCATCGCGATGCCCGGGAAGGATATTGTGCTGCAAGTGCCCAAAGAACACTTGTAGATAAACTAGGATAGAACAAGAGTTGATAGGGATGGTTTCATGGGCAGAGGATGCTCTCGTAGTGATGCATCTTGATAGTCTGATGGGGCAGTCCCCAGATAACCTTGAGCACGTTGTTTGCAACGTTATCATCACTGCAGCTGAACCCATTGACACCTTATAGTAGAACAAGCGAGACTAGACACACATATGCGATTTTGCCTTCCTGTTGATCGAACTCCTCTCGTGATCTGCGACCGCAGACTTACTGCTGTTGAGCAGAGAATCCTGTTTGCTGTGCCCACACGTGCATCGTTGGACAGATGAACAAGGAATCTGAAGGTGAGGGCGTGGTTATCGGTTCTTGCTTGCTGTGACCATGTTAATCATCAAAGGCTCCAATGAGAAGGAGAACATGGACGACGACGACCTGTCCGGGTCCGACGGGTCTTTCTCGTCTTACTCCAGTCCCCGAGCCTCCTCGCCGTGTCTTTCGGGAACAGAGTCTGGGCTGGGTCAAGACTCTTGCGATATCCCAGCCTTCATCACCAAACTCCTGAGGTATCCATGAGCCTGTCAGCGGGGTTCTGTCGTGATACCTGGCTATGCAGGATGCTCTTCGATGCCAGGAACGCGCCCTACATCCGATGGGGTGAGGACGGGCACACCGTCTTGATAGCGAACCCCCATGGGTTTGCAACCAAGATCATCCCGCAATACTTCAAGCACAGCAACCTTGCGTCTTTCATCCGCCAGCTCAACGTGTATGGGTTTCACAAGACTACTCAGGATCCTGACATCTGCGAGTTTGCCCACACCAACTTCAAGCGCGACGAGCCTGCACTGATGCAGAACATCAGGCGGAAGGAAAGAAAGCCAGGAAATCGCGCGTCCAAGGTGATGGCAGTGCCTGCGAGCCAAGCAGAAAGACAGGAGGGTGGAGAAAAGAGCTCGGCCTTGCAAGAGCTGGCTAGGAAGCTCGATCAGATGAGTGGGCGGCAGATTCAGTTAGAAGCAATGTTCAAGAAGTCTGAGAAGGAGAAAGAAACTCTGTCGCAGAGAGTCTTACAAGCAGAGAAGCAGAACAAGGATACAGAAGCAAAACTCTTTCACATGCACAAGGTCCTCACTCAGCTTTGTGACTCAGTGAAGGTAAGGTTGTACCCACTCCCTCTCCACACTGAGTGCTTCCCCTCAGCACTTGCAGGGGACCGTCAATGGTATTGTAGCCAGTGTGCAGGGAGCAGGAGAAGGAGCGAAGCGGACAAGAGGCGTAAGCCATGAAGCGGTGAAGCCTGTCCGCCAGCTGGAGCAAGCCCCATTGCTGCAGCCTCCGCCCAAGACTGCTCAGAGGAAGAAGCAGAAGGTGCTGGAAGCTGACGTCACCAGGCTGAAGGAGTACGTGGAGAGGCTGGGGTCGATAGGAGAGCTGATGCAGAAAGGAAAGCTCAAGGCGGCAGACAAGAGAGTCTCATGCAAGGATGTCCTTCAAGGGGTCGGACAGACTCTCAAGAGGGAGCCTGAGGTCATCGAGGTGCGCGCACATGCCGGGCCGATTCGTCAGGATCAGCCCCCTGCCCATCGAGTCAGCACGTATGGAGCTCAGCAACCGATCTTCTCGACCAGCTTGCCGCAAGTAGACCTGAAGCAGATGCAACTGCCCGAGCAGGAGCACTTCACTGTGGGACAGACAGGGATCCTCCAGCCGTTTCTGCTGGCCACCAGCCCCCTCGTCAACTTCGGGTCCATTGGCAGCTCATTCTCCCTGCGAGCGACTGCGCATCTGTCGCAGGACCTGATGCAAGGAGAAGGAGGAGGGAAAGTTTGCAACCAGACGAGCAGGTGAGGAGTGAAGGAGGCGCAATGTGGTATGGACCGAGTGAAGAGACGGAAGGAGGAAGGTGATAGGTTGTGCGAGAAGGGAGAGGAAGCTGGAGGGGGGAATGGGTGGAGCAGAAGTTTTGAGGGTGGCGGAGCCGTGTTCACCATGGTTTTTGCGGAATCGGGAGTTTTGTTGTTGTGTGTATATACATGAAAGACAAAAGAACAATAAGCCTTACAAAAAGTGAACACATAGAAGGAAACATGAAGAGATGCAAGGGCTTGTGTACATGCGAGAGGAAGTTTTCAGGTGCTTTCAGCTAGTGTCTTGAGGTATTCCTTTGAAACCTGGTAGGAGAGCAAGAGTGTGACTGAGGGGGAGGAGGAGAGGGAGAAGGTAAAGGCCAACAGGAGGCAGGAGGCAGGAATAGAGGATGAAGATAGTTCCAGAGATCGCTGAATAGAAGAAACGTAGAATACAATGAGGAGGAGAAAGGAGGTGCAGGAAGGAAATGGAGGAGAAGGGCAGAAGAGTGTGGCAGGAGGGTGAAGATTGGGGGGAGGGGAGGGCAGACAAACTTGACGATAACAGCAATCAGCAGTAGGGTGGGGGCGTGAGGAGGAGCGGGAGAGGAGAGGAGGAGACCTTGACGACTTCGGGCGTGTTCCACTGCTTCTTGCCAGTCTTGCGGTTCCACCAGTACACGTTCTTCCCGTCCGATGTTCCCATCATCCTCCATCCTGGCGCGAGTGGAAAAGAGCCGGTGAGATTGAGGACGGTGAAGGAGTTTGGGGAGATGAAAGTTGAGGAGGAAGAGGAAGAGGGGGAAGAGGAGGGAAAGGAATCGGAGAAAGAGGAGGACCGGGAGGAAGAGGAGGAAGAGGAGGAGGCTGGAGAGCATGGAAGAGGGAGGGGTGAGGGAAGGACGGGAGGAAGGAGCACGAATGGTACGGTAGAGCATGGAAGGGAAGTGGTAGATTGGAAGATGGAGGGAGAGAAGACAGGAGAGGAGGATGAAGCAACTTCAAAGTGATCAAGAGGAAAGGAGGGGGCAAGGAGCTATGAGAGCAGGCAAGAAGGTAGGAACCTTTCGCCTCCCGTAGTTGCTCGACGAAGGCCTGCAGGAGGAGAAGAAGGTGAGGCAGGACGAGCCTCGGAGGAAAGTGCAGCGGAGGACCTTCTTCGAGCTCAGCAGCTCTCTCGCCTCCTCCAGCTCTTGATCCAACCGGCGCATGCTCTCCATGAAATGCCTGCGGGCTCGTCAGCTCCCCCCACCCCACTTTCTTCCTCAAGGAAGCACAACCCCTCATGCGTCGACTGCAGGGCCCTCGTCCTCTCCCACTTCTTCTTTATCTCGCTCTTGATGCTCTCGCTCTGCTCCTTCATCGTTGCGATCTCCGCCTGCGTCTGCGCTACCGTCTCTTCCGCCTTAAGAGCTCCGTCACTCCCGGTATCGAAGACAGAGGGAGGAGGAGGAGGAGGAGGAGGAGGAGGAGGAGGAGGAGGAGGAGGAGGAGGAGGAGGAGAGTCACC